TCTATCTATTTATCTATCTATCTATCTATCTATCTATCTATCTATCTATCTATCTATCTATCTATCTATCTATCTATCTATCTATCTATCTATCTATTTATCTGTCTATCTGTCTAGCTAGCTAGCTACACTTTCATTTATCACTATCTATATTGTCAATGGAGTGACGTATTCATAATTATCCACAAGTATCTATACGATGTAACGCATATACAAATATCCATACGATGTGACGAATATACAGTTTTATTATCCATACGAGGTGACGCATACACAATTTTCCACACAATGTGACTTAAGAGCAAATCTTTGCATGTGCTGTGACGTATACACCTAAAAAGTGCACTCCGTCTGCTCAGCTGATATTGTGCTGAACTACGGGGCGGATGTCTCTGGTTCGAATCCCTGACTGGGCGCTCTTGAACGTGGATCGTTTTGTGGAGTTATCAAGGCTCTCAATCCGTTTGGCTCTGTCCAATCCTATCGGAGATGGACTTTAATTTCGGAGGTTCTGTTTCTTGAAAACCTAAAAGGGAAGTCAGACCCATTCACTTACTTTTCATCACCATCGTTGCCTTTCTCACCCTGCATCAAGGTATAGGTAACGAACAAACACTTTCTACCTTTCTCCATCCTGGGCTAGCCTCTTACTTTTACTTAATACCTAAAAAAGAATACTAAAGAATTAGTACATGTTATGCTGTCTTCTCGATCAGGTATTAATCATAAAACGCTTTGGGCATTCTTCTGGTGGGGAGGTATTGACGTCGTGTGTATGCCACTGTAAGCAACTTCGTCTGTGGTGTAGCGATTAGGCGCAATGCCGTCGCACGCAGAAGACACAGGTTCAATTCTACATTACAATGGGGAGGCTTTTTAACCCTATCCGTACGCCCTGGGGTCCTTTTTGTACCACCGGGGTTGTATTTTTCACATTTATGAATACTTTTAGTGCGAAGATCTCTTTGAAATTTTTAGTATTTCTCAAAAATCATTTTGACAGACTGCTATTCAAAGTGTACGGATCGGATTAACGAGTAAATTTCCTCTTTGAAAGTGTTGGCACCGATCTCCCCACGCCGTATGCATACAGTAGTAAAACACGACGTACGGATCGGGTTAATCGAGCATCTCCATCAGTTTGTGAGGACTTTGTATCCCTCTCAGCTAGCTTTGGACCTGACAGGTAGAGTTGAAGCAGCTCGCTTCCTAAATGATCTAAATTGTGTCGACAGGGCTGTAAAACATCTACAAATGTATTAACATACCAACCAACCAACCAACCAACCAACCAACCAACCAACCAACCAACCAACCAACC